ATTCGCGATGGCGAGCAGGCCCGTGATCAAGAACGCCGATGCACGAGTACCCCATGCAAACCCGATCGAACTGTGAAGGAGCCGGTTTATCATGATGGGGAAGACGACGCCGCCGGAAGAGGAGCCTAGCTGAGGTGATGAGATGGCGGTGTAGGATAGATACGGAGAGACCTGCCCGTAAAAGTTATACCCATAGCCAGCGAGCGCCGCTTCTTCCAGTGATGTGCCTGTACAGAGATAGCTGGGATAAGAACCAAGCCTCCGCCAAGGCCCATGCCGATGCCTTGAGAGAGTAGGACCTGGTAGTACCGGCTCGTGTCCGCCAGAGAGAGCATAAACATCCTGACAGCATGAGTTATGTGTCATTCATACCCCACCTATACGACAGGAGCACGCACGAAAAGACGTAGAGCACACTCCCGCTGATACAGACGTGGTGGAAGTACCCTTCGTCAAGGAGCTTGCCGGAGAGGATGCCAAGCATGAACATCAGGCAGAGCTGCAGGGAGCCTATCCAGCTTATGTTGGAGGCGGAGGACATGCCTGTGAGTGTGTACAGGTCTTGATACACACCGAAAGAGCTGGCGTAGCCGAACGTTGAGAAGCAAGCGAGCCATCTATTGCAGCACGCAACATGAGGTGCGGAAAGCTGCCCACGAGAGGGGCCAGAGAACATACCCGCCGGCAACACACATCCAGGCACGCAGACCGCCATCTGGCGGTTCGTCTGTGGCATCGGCCGTACGAACGTTAGCCTCAAGGGCATGCGCCGTCACCGAATCCTGCGAGGGCTTTTCCACCAAGGTGGCCATGACTCTGGACGGACGATGTTCGTGAGGAACCCAGACCGATCCTGGTTGCTGTCGAGGGCACCTGGGAGTGCACCTCCAAGGGCAGCTGGCACATGCACGACGAATTCCCAAACATGAGAGACGAACGATTTCCGAAGAACTCCCCGTGCCGGGCGGCACCAGTTTACGCATGTCACATGGACGCGTCCGCCGTCCTTGCGAGCGCCATGCACCTTGCGGCGCGTTAAGCGTCATCGCGTACACGCCTGATTCTCGACGCTCAGGTCGCGCTGTCCGTCGAGCATGCAAGGTATTTTGCGCGCCATGAACCACTCACGCGCCCTAGGCTCTGCACGGGGCTTCGCCACGTCCTCAGCGCGCCAGGCGAACCGCGCGGTCGTGTACACCGCCGCCGGCGACCCCACGTCGGTGCTGTCCGTCGTGACGTACCCTGAGCTCCCAACCCCGCCACCGCGCTCCGTCAACGTCCGCTATGTCCTCTCGCCCGTCAACCCGTCGGACATCAACGTCATCGAGGGCGTGTATCCCGCGAAGCCGGCGCTCGCCGACGCGCTTGCGCCGGGGCACAGGCTCGAAAAGCCCGTGTATGTGTGTGGAAACGAAGGGCTCGCGGAGGTCACCGAGGTCGGGGGCGGCGTGCAGGGCGTGCACAAGGGCGACTGGGTCGTCATGGCTGGCCAGCAGCTCGGCACGTGGGCCTCGGCGAGGACGCTCAAGGCGGAAGATGTCATCAAGGTGCCGTCGGGTGTTAGCGAAGTGAACGGGGCTACTATGACTGTAAGTCGTCCAGATATGTAGGAAATATGAGTTGGTGAGCATTTTTGACAGGTTAATCCGCCGACGGCATATAATATGCTGCACGACTTCGTAACCTTGCAGGAAGGAGACTGGGTGATGCAGAACGGTTTGTACTTCTGGTACTCGAACTTATCGGTTGCTAATGTGTGTGTAGGTGCCAACAGTACTGTATGCTTTGTGATATCCTCCAGTGAGCGAAGTGTGGGGCTGACTCTGTTGAACAGGTCGGCCAAGCAGTTATCCAGATTGCAGCTAAGGAAGGTTTGAAGACTCTAAACTTCATACGGAATAGGTAGGTATGTCCATCTACATCCAGTCACGCTTGCTAAGTTTTTGTTGCAGAAAAGACCTGGACTCGCAAAAACAACAGCTGAAGAGCCTCGGCGCCACAGAAGTACTCACATACGATGACCTCGACGACAAGTCCCTCCGCGAACGCGTGAAGGAGATGACCGGCGGCAAGGTGAGGCACCCACCCATGTCAGTCGCCTTTCACACCTGACATCCCCGACTTGCCAGCCGATCCGACTGCTACTGAACTGCGTGAGCGGCCCGCCAACGACACAAATGCTCAAGTTCCTCGGGCCCGACGCGCATCTCGTATCTTACGGCGCCATGTCGAAGCAACCGCTCTCGCTCCCGACGTCCGCGTTCATATTCAAGGACCTTGCCTGCCACGGGTTCTGGCAGAGCCGGTGGTACACGCAGCACAGCAGGCCGGAGCGCGAGGCGCTCATGCAGAGGCTCGCGGACATGAAGGTGCGTGTTGCTTTGCCCGTGGGTCGGTGCAGAGACTTACCGGGCTGCGCATGAAGCTGAAGGAGCCTGAGCACGAGGTCGTGACGATCCCGGCGCAGGAGAGCGACTCGGAGGCGACTCGGAGGGTTCATGAAATCATGAAGACGCTGACGAAGGGCCAGCACGGGAAGAAGATCCTTCTCAAGATCGAGCAACCGTGAAACGGGCAGGTATATGTATGTGTGCAGGGAAATATACAACAGATATAGAGTGCATATACTTGTCACAAGAAGAACGTTCTCCTCGTAGTCTCAAGTTCCGGCTGAGACGCGGGATGTCAGGCGAGACGAAACGTTTGCAAGACAGAGATGCACACCTTCCAGATCCACTGGTACTCGTCGTCCTTAGGAGGTATCACTTTCTTGGGATCCGACGGTCCAGGCTGTTCGTCTTGATCCATAATCTCGCCGTCGTTGGCTTCGGCAGCTTGCTGCTCAGGTTTGGCAGACTCCTCAGCCTCGTTGTCGAAGGAGTCAAACTCGAGCGGCCTGCTGAGTTCACCCAAGTTCTTTACGGCTGGCAAGCCCTTCTTGAGCGAGCGCAGCTTGAGGGTAAAGCGCGGGCCGATTTCCTGCAGCTGAACCTTCTCGGTGGAGCGGAAGGCATATCGGTGGCGTCTGAAGAACAGGAAGTCTCGTTGGTTGTGGAGGGTGACCACCTGCCGTCCCTGAAATTCTGGCATGGGCGGGAACAGCGTTTGGAAGAGACGGCCGACGGTGTGACCCAGCCGGGTAACGAAGCCGTTCAGGACGAGCTCAGGGAAATGTTCTGTTGCTCGTGCATGGCCCTGACATCTCCTCATGAGCATGTAGAGATAGCTAGAAAGACGGTTAAGCTCACAGAGATTTTCTTTGACAGTTCTATTGAGGTAAGCTTGAAGTATGCTGTAGGTCCATCAGGAAGATATACGATTGTCATGGCATCTACAGCGCGTTCGAAGGATTAGACCACAGGTTAAAAAGCACGACACAAATACGCACTCGGCTTCTTCATGTCCTCGTTCATCACGATCAAATGGCTGTAATTCCTGCCCGCCGCCCAGCCAGCGATCCTGCCCATCTCGAAGCCCTTGCCCTTCGGTCTCCGTATGAGCTCAGCGCCCGGAAATATAGTGACGATCTCTTCGCAAAATTCGTAAGTCGTCCGTGTGGCCTTTTGCGAGGTCGTGATCAAGACCTTGGGAGGTACGGTAGGGTCGGCAGCGCCGGAGAAGTACGAGGCGAAAGGGTCAGAGGCGATGTCTGCAGCATTCTCGTCAGCGGGTTGTTCATCTAATTGCTGCAGTGGCTCAGGAGGAGGAGAGGATGTAGAGGCAACAGGCTGTTCTGGTTCTGGCGGAGGGGCGGTCAAGATAGATGGGTCGTACTCTCGGGTGTTGTCGAGCGTGCGAGGTACATTTTCTGACTGGCGCCTCTAGGATATGGAGGGTCTATAAGCACACGTAGCAGCAAGGATGACTGGGTGCATACTTTCTTGGCGGCGGGGTTGTCGGACTCTGCTTTCGCGAGGGCAAGTCTGCGCTTGAGCTTTGCTTGCCGCTTTTCTCTCTTTTGCTTGCGGGCGATCTCCTCGCGCTTTTCCTTGTTTCTGATTTGCGACGGCTCGAAGCGGTTCAGAGGCATGGTGTGAACTTGTCCGTGTAGCAGGGACGGCGTCTACTCAAATTCTGTGGACGAGACGCAAGTCACGTGGGCTGCGAGATCTGAGATCACTGGTCTGGAACCGACGTTGCTTCACGCTTCCACTGCTCGCCAGCCATGGCCAGACGACCCCCGCACCTCGCGCTCTTGCTCCTGCTGCTCGCTGCGGCTGCCGCCAATGCCCTCCATATCTATTTGGACGCTAACGAAAAGCGGTGCTTCCTCGAGGAGATCCCTAGCGACACCGTCGTCGAAGGTGTGCCAGCATTTACGCGTGTGACTCCAGACAGAGGCTGAACGGGCATGCGCTCGCCACTAGGACATTACAAGGCCCTCGAGTGGTCTGAACCAGAGCAAAAGTATGTCGAGAACTCTGGTCTTGGAATCCTTGTGGAAGTCGATGTGCGTCCACCATCTTCCTTGACGGAAGCTTGGGCTTAACAAGACATCTTCTCTTAGGAACTTGTTACCGGCCACAACGTTGTAAGGACGCGGGGGCCTCACGACAGCCGCTTCACCTTCACCTCACACGAAGCGGGGGATCACGCTATCTGCCTCTCCAGCACGCAAGGGACATCCTGGACCCCCACCTCGCATATCCGCCTCTACCTCGACATTGTCGTCGGAAGCACGAAGCCTGACCGCGAGCAAGACCGCTCACATGTTACCGAGCTCTCTGCAAAGCTCCGTGATCTGAATCAGAAGCTCGAGGACATCCGCCGGGAGCAGCAATACCAGAGAGAGCGGGAGGCGAACTTCAGGGACCTCAGTGAACTCGCCAACTCGCGCGCGGTCTGGTACAGCATAGCACAGATTGTGGTGCTTGTCATCACCTGTGCATGGCAACTGAGACATCTCAAGGTGCGTCTCAACGCAGCTGGCGCTCTCACCCGAGACTGACGACCGTGCAGCGTTTCTTCGAGGACAGAAAGATGTAATGACTGCTGTCGTCATATGATGTTTTCGAACATGCTTTGGATATTTTGCGAGGTTTGCGATCTCTAAGGGTTAATCTAGCAAACAGCGACGTCGAGCCTCTGGACCGGCAGCCACGAGACGTACAGCGTATTTATCTGTATAAGACTGCGACTTCCTTCGCACATTCTGTCAATTCTTCCACTTGCTTGTTCGTTTGGTGCTTAGATCGCTTCTTACAGTTTCCTGCGGCTGTTCAAACGCCCACGTTGATTCCCTCGCGCGACACGAAGTGTTTCAGTATTTTCGCTTGCCCTTGGGGATTCTGCTACATGTCTAAGACAACTGAGACTGCCTACTGTACTGACGCCCACTTGACCAGTGGTTAAAAGCGACCATTCAAGATGCATTGACTCTCCCTCTGTAGATTGTCACCACCATGTCAGGCCTGTCAAAATTCGTATCCGCGTATCCACCCCACCTGTCCCGCTCCCGCGACAGTCGTTTTTCACGTACTTACTGGAGCAAGACATCTTCAACGACAACCACCCTTACAGCATCAACGGTCAGACTGGGAAGGTGCACACGCGCGGACAGCTCAAGCGGGAGTCGCTGCGCCTCGCCCATGGTCTGAGGAACGCGCGCAACGTGGGGCTAAGCGCCTTCGAGAAAGGCTCGGTCGCGCTAGTGGTCAGCCCGGCGACGAACTTGTATCCGACGCTGATATTTGCCCTCGTACGTGTCGCACATCGCTCCGCAACGCGTTATCTGAGTGTGAATGTCGCAGGGCGCGGCAGGCATCGTGTGTTCACCAGCCAATCCCTTGTACACCGAGTACGAGCTCGCGCACGCGGTGAAAGTTAGCCGGGCGTCGCACGTCCTCGCACATGCCTCGGTTATGCCGCTGGTGCTAAGTACGCTGCGGTCCCTCGGGCGTTCACAAGAAGATATCAGGCGGTCGGTCATCATCGTCTCCCCGGAGGACGAGATCCCGGCCGAGTACAAATCCAGAGGCTGGGCTAGTCTCAGCAAGCTCGACTACACACCTGTGCCGAGCGTCCCCGAGCATCTCGACGGCGGCGCGTCCGACGCGACCGCGTTCATCTACTTCAGCTCAGGTCAGCGTCCGCGAGCTTTCCACCGGCCAGCGTCACTGACGTGCGCACTTTGCAGGGACGACGGGCCTGAGCAAAGGCGTCGAGCTCTCGCACGCCAACGTGACGGCGAACCTCGCGCAGATGCGCGCGTGCTACCAGTACCTGCAGAGCAACCGCGACGTGACAATCACCGGTCTGCCGCTGTTCCACGTCGTGGGCGGGCAGACGTTCGTGCTGTTCCCGTTCTTGAAAGGCGTGCCGGTCGTCGCGCTGCCGCGGCTCGTGCTCGAGGAGTACCTCGCGTGCATCGAGCGGTACAAAGTCTCGGTCAGTTCTCCACTTTTTCTCGGAGGACTGTTTGGGAGATTAACGGCGCGAGGGCGCAGATGGTCATCACGCTGCCGCCTGTGCTGCTCGCGCTGACGACCAGCCCGCTGGTCGACAAGTATGACCTGTCGTCGTTGCGCGTGATGACAGTAGGGGCGGCACCTGTATCGCCCGAGATGATCCTCGCCTGCCGCCGTCGATTCGCCAAGAAAGGTTGGCAGGCGACCATAGGCGAAGCCTATGGAATGGACAGAGCTATGTCAGTTCGCGCCAACCATGTCATCCCAGGATCCTGAAACTTAGTCTCTCTAGGTGCCTTGGCAATGTACATGCCTCTGGAGGTAATGGTGTCGCATGCGTCCTCCATCGGGTGGCAGTTTCCCAATTCGGAGATACGTGTGGTGGATGACGACGACAAAGATGTGCCTATCGGCTCGCAGGGGGAACTCTGGTTCAGAAGCCCCAGCGTCATGAAGTGCGCATTCTTTCATAAATGTTGGCGGTACTTACTGACATCCTATAGAGGGTATGCGAATAACCCGAAGGCGACAGCGGAAACCATTACGCCTGATGGCTGGCTCAAGACGGGCGACATGGCTGTTGTGGATAAAGATGGGTTTGTGTCGATCACGGACCGCAAGAAGGAGCTCATCAAGTATAAGGGCTTCCAAGGTATGCGTCCTGTGGCCACAGCGAGCCCTCTTGCTCACATTGTGCCTCTTAGTTGCCCCTGCAGAGCTGGAAGATATCATCGGCTCGCATCAGGGTGTGGCGGACTGTGCCGTGATCGGAGTGTACGAGAAGGATCAGGCCACGGAATTGCCCAAGTACGGCCTCTGTAAACCACTATGAGTTTCGGACCGATGTGACATTCTTTCTTGCAGAGCCTACGTGGTCCCTAGAGACGCGAAGCTGCTCAAGGGCGGAGACCCCAGTTCTCTCATTCAGAGCATCCACAGCCTCGTCGCGCCCCGTGTCGCGCACTACAAATACTTACGCGGGGGTGCGTGCTAGTTGCCGGACCGGACTCCACCTTCGCGAGGCTAACGTTGATGGGTTCTTAGGCATCGCGCTGACAGCTGAGATACCGAGAACTCCCTCTGGGAAAATCTTGAAGAGAAAGTTGCGGGAGCTGGAGGGTGCACAGAAGGGGCCTATACCGAAACTGTAGAGTACTGAATCGCGAGACTGCACTTGAGAAACCTGGCAGAATCGTCCTTCGGAGATCCTGGCTGCTGCGAGTGCCACAACGGCTCTGCAAGCGCTTGGTTACATTGGGTGACGTCAGGGGTTTTGATTTTTCGAAAATATCAAGAAAAAAGACCAGAGGCACGCACTGGACACCCTCGATCTGTCCAGGACGTATACCCAACTTGCAGCCGTTTCGTGGCAACGCACTCACACCACTGACACTACCACCTCGACGGTGGACGGTACCTTACACTCGACATCGACGCCTTTTGAACGTTGACGGCCGCCGCAGACGCGCGCGATCCTTCCTATGCCGCCCGGCGCTCAAACCGAGACAGACTCGCCAACAGAGGTCGGCAGCCCTCTGCCAAAAGCCGAGACAAAACACTTCGACTTTGCGAGCCCTCCAGACGTGCACGACCTGCCCGACGTCGACCGCGAACGCCTCGTCGAAGCTACCCGCGCAGAAGAACCCGATTCGGACACGGACTCGGATGCCACGGAATCGGAGGAAGACTTTGACTGGGAAGGGGAGGACGACGCGCGCAGCACCAAGAGCGACCATCTCGAAAACGCCGCAAACGTGCGGCGCGGCCGTGCGGTATGGCGCGCATTCATGAAGCTCTCAAGGCCCCTCCGCACGCTCATCGTCGCTGTGCTCGGCATCGGCGTGTTGATCACCCCCCTGCTCGTCTTTCAGCTGCGCTTCAACAACACGCCAGGCCGAGTGGAGGCACACGTCTGGTCCCTCTGGATGGCCATCACATGGGCAGCGAGCTGCGGCACGTACCTCATCGTAGACCTCACGCCCGTCCTTGCACTTGCCATCTTCCGCTTGTTCAGCCATCAGGTCGAGCGAATGCAGATAACTATCGAGGTGCGTCCATTTGCATGCTCTCGTTCCCCGAACAATCGCCTTAACTCCCCTTCAGCTCACATCGGCCGTCTTGGGCTGGCTCAAGTTTGCCCTGGACGTGACATGGTCCTGGATCGCGCTTTCCGTCATCCGGGCCGTCTACAAGCCCACGTCTTCATACTGGGTCATCATCAACCGCGTTATGCAGGCTCTCTTTACCCTTGCGATACTCTGCCTCGTCGAAAAGATATTCCTGCGCTACATCGCCATTAACTTTCACCGCCGGGCCCTCGCTGACCGAATCGCGGAGAACCAGACCGGCCTGCGGGCACTCGATCGCCTATCAAACACGACGCCGAACACGTCCTCTCGTAGGTACCCATACGGCCAGATGTGGCGGCGCGGCCATCGCTCAGGATCGCCCTCGGCGCACGTCTCCCTCGGCGATCCGCAGAGCAATCCGGGCTCGAGCTCGAGCTCGCCGATATCGGAGAAGCCCGAGGAGAAGAAGCATCACAAGCACGAAAAGGAGCACGAAAGGCAGAAGCGCAAGCGTCGGCCCATGACGGCCGTCATAGTCGACAACCTCGTCAAGAGCCAGAGCAGTGAGGGACAGGCTTTCTACTCCGCCAGCAAGCTTGCGAAGAAGCTGTTCGCCCAACTGAGTAGTGTCGACCCGCAGAGGCAGGAGCTCAAGCTCGAGGACTTCATCCCGTATTTCAAGTCCGAAACGGATGCGGTTCGTCTGGTTTCCTTGGCCGATACTAACGAGTGTGCCTAACATCTGGCTAGCGGGCTGCATTCGCTATCTTTGACAAGGACGGCAATGGTGATATCACTAAGCGTGAAATGCGCGAAGCGGTGCGGCGCATCTACCGTGAGCGAAAGGCGTTGACTGCTAGTCTCAAGGTGCGTCTGTGCCTCTGCTTTGTTTGTTATGTATCGTCTGACGCCGCATGTAGGATGTCGGAAATGCTGTGGCCAAGCTGGACGCCGTCCTTATTGTCTGCGCTCTTCTGGTCCAAATATTCATTTGCTTGCTCATCTTCAACAAGAAGGACACCATCGCCTCGCTCGTACCATTGGCGACGATCATCCTCGGCTTCTCGTTCATCTTTGGGCACTCTGCACAGACCCTCTTCGAATCAGTATGTCGTTTTTTCACAGGTGAAGTCAGAATCTAATACTAACTTGAGGGTTAGCTAATCTTCATCTTCTCTACTCATGTGTTTGACGTTGGGGACTTGGTGATGATTGACGATCAGGTGAGACAGTTGCACCCATCGACTGTATCGAGTTCTCATAGAGACCTACAGCCTCTCGTTGTTCGCGAGTTTGGTCTTTTCTCCACCACGTTCAGGCGAGTAGATGGCCAGGAGATTATTGCACCGAATTCGCTCTTGTCTGGATCAAAGCTCGTGCACAACTTACGTCGCAGTAGCTCCATGTGAGTATCGCTATCTTTGCCTGCGGTAGAAGCTCAATAGCTACAGGTGGGAATACACTGACTTGACTGTCGCCTACGACACACCGCTCGAGATTCTCGAACAACTACGGCGAAAACTCGAAGATTACATCAACGACGACAAGAACCGTCGTGAGTGGTCAAATATCCACGTCCATATCGAAGAGATGCAGTTTCAAAACGCGATCCACCTCAAGATCGGCATGGAGCACCGCCCGAATTGGCAGGACTGGGGCGGGCGCTGGGCGCGGCGCACGGCGCTCATGCGCTTCCTCAAGGTCACGCTCGAGGAGCTCGACCTGCGGTACACGAAGCCTGTGCAGCCCGTTATCATGCCGGGCCCGCCGCCCGGCTGGGGTGCCGGCCCCCGCTCGCCGTACCTCTCTCCACCGCGCACGCCGAACTCGAAGCCGCGCTTCAGCGGCAGCCGCGACACGCTCAGCGTGCCACAGCCGAACGCGAGCCGCGAGACTCTATCGTTCCGGAGCAGCGACCTCTCACGTGGGCTCTCGACGCGCATACGGTGAAGACTCCATGGCCTTGGTGTCGCTTGTGTATCCTGGCGGACGCACTTTACGTACTTGTTCTCGGACTCATGAGAAGCTGGCCGTCTCCACAAATGTGTCTCAGGATCATTCTTGCAACCTCTCCCCCATTCGATTTTTGTAGTGTCCAATGCATAGACATACATCTAGACTCACTTGGTTTCACTTGCATGATCATCCATCTGTTACATGACTGCTGTAGATAGCTCAGGTCATATGTTATGCTAAGATATAACTTTTGTGTGGATTATAAACATGCTTGTCTGCTCAAGGTTAGTATGTCTGTGTGAGTTTATTGCACTTGTTCTTGCTTCCAACTTTGATATTCCTAGTGTATTGCTCATCAGTCACTTAGACATGTGTGCTATATGAAGGTCATCAGACTTTTCTGAAGGTGCGTGAAGGAATTTATTCTGCATTCGCAGCGTGCACCTTTTTTTGCAGGGTTATTGTGTGTTTATTCCTGTTTCAATGCATGATAATGTGTTATCATGCAGCACAGCCTCTTCCAACACTGCCTGATCTTAGTTTATCCCGGCATGCTGGCTGTTTTTGCCCTTCTTAGAATATGCAATAACACGTAATAACATGTGAGTTCACCTCAAAACCAGTAATGACTGGACTGTCAATGCTTGTGCCCTCTGCCATGGCCCTTTCATACTCAGGCCGGCCGTTGCCCACCGTGTGCACAGCTCATCTGGAAAAATCCAGTTTGTTAATTTAACAGTAATTAGCAGTAATAGGTGCTCTTTCAACATTCATAAGATATAATTAGTTAAATGAGTTCAGCCAACATTCTCTATATGTTAGATACAGTAACTGCATCTTATATCAGCTAATTTGTTCTCTTTTCATTAGTGCAAAACTTTTAGTTTGTCAAATATGTTAATTCATTCACTGTTTGTTATAAAAATGTTAAAACTGTTATTTCATTCTGTGAATACTAATCTGAAGTTCTTATTATTCTATTTTTGTTAGCTGTACACTATATCTGCTAAACAGTTCACCATTTGTTTAAGTAATATTATAATTATATTTGCTAATTTGTTCTCTGAGTGTTAATCATAAGTTCTTTGTATATTATTTGTGTTAAAGATACATTATATTTGCTCAGCAGTTCACTGCTTATTATAATTACATTATATTTGCTAATCTGTTCTCTCAATACTAATTACAACTTCTTTGTATGTTATTTTTGTGAAAGATACGTTCAATTTGTTAAACAGTTCACTATTTTTTAATGTTACATTATAAATGCTAATTTGTTCTTAGAATGCTATTTATACACTCTTTGTATACTCTTCTTGTTAGCTATATACTTATTCTGCTAAGCAGTTCACTATCTGTTAATGTTATACCATAAATGTTAATCTGTTCTCAATATGTTAGCTGCAAGTTCTTTGTATGCTATTTTTGTTAGCTATACATTATATATGCTCAATAGATTATTGTTTGTTATTAATATAATCTAATATTAACCTGTTCTTTCAATATTAACCATAAGTCCTTTTCATATTATATTTGTTAGCTATATATTACATACACTCATTAGTTCACTGTTTGTTATTAGTATACTGTTAGTACTAATTTACTTTGCAAATATTAGTTTAAAGTTTTCATGTTAAATGTACAAAATATTCTCTATTAAAAGATACATCTAATATTATATTATACACGCTTTAGCTACTATCAGTGCTATTTAGAGATAAGTGTATATGCATGTTTTTATTATTTAACAATCTAAATACCCTCATAGCTTAGTTATTTTAATAATGTGTTACATTTTTAATATCTTATAGCAGTGTTATATAGTATAGAATTTTACTAAAGCACAATTATATTTGATCCTGTAAACTATAATATTTTATAGTTCTTATAATATATATATCTATTTTCCAGGCATTTTTGCTTCATTTTTTGTGCACTCAGTATTTGTATCAAGATAATACCTCAGAAAGATGCTACTAGTATTCTAGTGTAAGAATTATATATATACTATTTAGTTTGCCATAGAAATTGTTAAAAAAAATGTAGCAAAACTTTGATCTTTCTTTGTAGTGTTACAAATTATAGTTACTTTTATGGCTTACTTTAAATACTAATAATATTTAGCTAATGTTATTAGTAATTCCTTTTTTATGAACTACAAATACAATAATTAGATTAGAAACTAGAATAGATAACTATAAGAGCAAATAATAAAGATCAGCACAAGTTAAAACTAAACTTATTAAAAGTAGTTAAAGTAAAAAAAAAAAAAGTAAAAAAACCCCATTTAAAGCTGTAGATGACTTTATACATACTACAAAATATACAATGACTATTTAAAATGATGCATAACATTTTATTAAACTATATTTGATAATGAAACTGTTTTTTAAATGTATTAAAATGTTATTTAAGCGCCATTTAAGCGCCCAAATATATTTAATATCTTTGAATATAAATACAGTGTAGGATCACTCCTTAGAACACTCCACTTTCTGCCCTTGCACAGTCTGTAGGGCTTATCACAATCACTTTACTGTATATAATACATCTATATCTATATGCCATAGAAGCTTAGAGCCATCTGGTAATTGTAGCATAGGTGGAGGAGCAAAAAGCGAAAATTGTCAAGCGCACTGGCTTCAGTGATGCTGCGACTATCACCAGAGTTGCACAGTCAGACTAAAATTCACAAAAATATTTGTTAATACTCAAATTTATGCTCCGTTCATGTGAAAATTGTGCTTAATGCTCAGATGCCAAGTGTCGAGCTGGAATACATTAGAGATGATTCTGCACTAGGCTACTATTAGCATTCTTCTGAGGTATCACTTTGATGCAAGCACTAGGTGCCAGAAAAAATGTAGTGAAAATGGCTGAAAAATGAATATATATTGTGAAATTTATACAATGACACAGATTCCAGAGTAAAATATGAATAAGTCTTAGTAAAATTCTATGCTGTATGATGTTACTGTAACAAAATTACAGCATGGTAACAAAATTGGATGAATGAGCTGTGGAGACAGTTACATTGGTATGTTTTACCAAGAAAATCTGTATATTTATATCTCCACAGCACTCAGGAATAGAGATATAAAATTTGCTGTACAGAATACCTTTACTAGCAGGTACATTCAGTATACCACTATAGGTATTCCAGCTGCTGGTGATGTTTATAGAATATAAGCATACACCTCTTTATTTTGTAATGAATATAGTTGCCATGCTGTAATTTTGTTACAGTAACATCATACAGCATAGAATTTTACTAAGACTTATTCATATTTTACTCTGGAATCTGTGTCATTGTATAAATTTCACAATATATATTCATTTTTCAGCCATTTTCACTACATTTTTTCTGGCACCTAGTGCTTGCATCAAAGTGATACCTCAGAAGGATGCTAATAGTAGCCTAGTGTAAGATTTGTATATACACTATCTGACTAGGTACAGTGGTTGTGGAGATATGAGGGATTATAACACCCCTTTGTAGTGTTGTGCATTATTTTTGGCGACCACTGTAGTAGTATAATGAGATTTATTTAGTATTTATATATGAGAGACATATGAAGGGGAAGCAAATTTTGATCAGGTGTCCCAAGGAGTGGTTCTATACTGTCGATTGTTTAAAAGAAGTTTTTATGTTTATATTTCATATTTCAAACTGCTAATTGCCAAAGATTGCAGTAATACATTTGATAAACACAAGTAGTAAAATAAAATGCTATTTTTAGAGCAAAAGGTAATATATACAGCTTTTAACATTACTAACATATTTTATATACATAGACTAGCATCTATGTTCTATTGCAAGAACAGCAAATAGTTTTTTTTGCTAAGTACTAGCTAATAAGCTATATACAACTGTATTTGTGTTATAAAATGTCATATTTACTCTGCACTTTACTTATTACTATATGCATACTAACAGCATGTTATTTTAACTAGCAGATTCAGTAGCTAAAGCAATGGTTGATAATCTATTGCAAAAAGCCACTGTATGTATTAAACATTGTTATATTAGCAAATGATAGTTATATTAAATATTGTACATCTAGCATTATATACAAGGGCAACAGTTATATTTAGACCTAGAAGTGTGAATATATGTTAAACTGCTAGATTGCACATAGAAATTATTTGTAAGTTGTTAGCTGAGTGTATATAGGAACATTGAAGCGTAAGGTTTATGTGAGCCTTATGGCTCAGTGATTAAAATGTGCATATTCCAACAGATAGTTTGAAAGTAGTAAGACTGGAGTTTAATTTTTATTGGGGCCATTCGTTTTTTCTTTCTTTTTTCTGAATATTATGCTTGTATAGAGCTATTAATATGTTGTATAGCATAAAAAATCTGTATAGAATTAAATTTGAGTTTGGTACATTAATTTTGAAGCTAAGAATACTGAAATAACAGCCAATTAAGAATCAATTAACAGTGAATAACAGCCCATTAACAAGAAATAACAGCTCATTAACACTATATAACAGTTGATGAATATCAAATGAATAGCTAATAAACAGCTTATGAACAGTTCATGAATGAATTACTGCATTAGTGTTAATTTACAATTAAAAACGTAAGCATAATAGGGGGGTCAGTTAATTAATGTTACTATATTAATTAGTGTTAATTAGTACTATTTAGTAGTAATTAACATTGTGAGCTTTTTCAGATGCCTCTCTGCACATACCACAGGCAACAGGCTCATTCTGGCCCATTGGAAGCTCTGCTTGTCTCATAGCTACCTGTGGAAAGGCTGACTCTTTGTATGCCACCATGCTGTCCAACTCAACCATTAACTCTATAGGCCTACTGCATCCTGTTGATAATATCTGAGCTGCATATATTGAGCCTGCAGCTCAGGCTCGTCTGTGCACTCCATACTCAAGTTGGAAATGCTGCCTGTTTGCAAGATGTCTGCAGATCAGTCTTGTCATTTCGGCAAACTGCTGAACAGGCAAGTTTAAACAGCTTTGGCTTGGCTTGCGTAGAACTGGTAAGCTGAGAATTTATTTGAGCATTACCATGACATTCCTCTGGTCAAGTTCTCTACAATGGACCAGTCTGTAACTAACATGGTCTAATGCCTTGACAATGCATGCCATCAGTTAGCCGATCCTTTAACTTCCCATGATATTGCTGTGGCTTGGAAAGTGTACACTGGCCATCCAGGCTGTCCATCTATTCATATCCATCATGAGTTTCTTGCCCAGGCACTTGACCTTCGGAGTCCTATGCATATTACTCCTATGATTGGTGC